TACTGTGACGTTTACGAATGATGCTTGAATTTAAAGATTGAGCATTTTTCACAGCTTCGAGAATTTTTTCTTTGCCTTTTATAATTGTTCTGACCGACAATTTCGGTAGATCAAACTTCTTTGCCAATTCACAAATTTTCATTTTTGTATCGAAGTCTTTAATAATGGGTACGTTTGTAAAGTCAAACGAGTTAAACGCGTTAGACTTTTCGAACGATTCGTTACTAATGAAATAGGAATAACGATGACGTCATTCTCGTTTAACTCATTCGACTTTACGAATATACCCAATGTTAACTTTACATTCCAAAGATAAAGCTTTTCTTTTCTTGTTTGATGCAGAAGAATTAGTTCTACTTCATTTGGATGACATAATAGAGTCTGTCAAGTCTCCGTAGATATAACAAACACAGAAATAAATAACACAAAATAAATTATAGCTATGTGTGGATTCTACACGACACATCCGAACATGTAAGCTGAACAATAGTGTGGGGGGAGTGAGTAATCAAGGGTTGCGTGGCACTCAAACAAAAGACGAATCAACGAGACTTGAAAATCGCTTAACTCCGGGTTCGTGTAAGTCGGGGTATTACTGTATACAGTTCAATGACAATACCCAATGCTCAAGACTTTCTTCAAAGATAAACTCAAGAAAAATAAACTTTCAATTCTGTGAGCATTATATGCTCACAGAATTGAAAGTTTTGAGCAAAGATGGTGAAATGCGATTGATATTGATGGTGATTACCTACAAGACTGAACTGTAATCATTGTTGAGTTAATTGTCAATAAAGTTTTTTCTCAAAATGCTGAAATTTCACCTTTACAACCAGATATAGATATATATTTTGCACTAAGTAAATTGAGGGATGAAATGTATAATTATGTTTAAGAGAGTTAATTTAATTTTTGAATAATGATAGATGTCATAAGATTGTAATAACAGATTTCTTCAATGAAAAAAATACATAAATAAAATCCATAAAAATTCCAAAACATGGAATTACCTTAATCATTACTGTGTGACCTGAAGCAAAATATAAAAATCTCAAATTATGTAAAATCATCAGTACATGATTAGTAATAATTAACAGGAATTTAAAATGCCTGTAATATAAAGAACAAAATTTTAACAAAAATTTTATTGCATACAAGGTATTTTTAAACATATAGCTAGCTTTGAAATATCATCAAAATAATTTAATCAATTTTCAATATATTTTTGGTTAATATTACTCTACTTATTATTAATGAATTGATCCAACAACTTTAATTATTACAGAGTAATATTTAATATTACTCTGTATTGTCTGTTAAGCCAGTATAATAAGTCCTGATAATAGTGAATGCTTGTTTATAGAAGAAAATTTATAATTTGATCCAACAACTCTTCAATGTATTAAAAGTTTATTGAATAACTTATAAATTTTAAAAGAAAACTCTTCAAATAAAAACTTATAATAAAAATATTGACATTAACAATTACAGCTTTTGGAAAATTATTATTTAATTCTTTATAATATAAAGTTTAAGAGAAGAGCAAGTGAATTTAAAGGTTTAGAATGTTTCTGCTTTATCAGGAACTTTCATTTAATTATTTTTAAATGGTTTAAAAAATTTACAACTTTATGTCTTATTATATGCACATTAAATTATAAATGGTACAGAGTCTAGTATTACATAAAGTAAACTTGCTTTTGATGAATGGTATCTGTTGTTAAAGTTAAGGGGGAAAAAACTTTTAGAAAATAGAATATAAAAAAAATTACACTTAACAATAATTAGTCTACAGTTCAAATCAAACTTAAATTTATTTT